AGCAAAATAATGATTAAAATGCAGGAAAGATAACATTACAGTGTTTAGTTTACAAGTACTTTATTGGGAATGTAATATCATTTCCTGCAATGTACCAAACGGACCCTTAAGTGGTGTTTGGTATGAGGGATGTAAGCCACATTCCCTGCAATGTGGCTTATTAAATTACATTGCAGTGTTTGTTTGTAACAGATCACTGCAATGTAAGATTGCAATGCAATCACATTGCAGCCAATGGATGTAATGTGATTGCAGTCCAACCCAATGCAATCACATTACATTGCACTCTGCAATGTTCTTAAAGATAATTTTACCCTTCAACTTTATTATCTTATTAAAAATATTTTATAATATTATAATTAAAATAAATATATATAAATTAAAATAAAATAAAATATAAAAATTAATATTTATATAATATAGATAAAACAAATTAAAATAAAATATATAATATAAAAATATATTAAAAAATAAAAATAAAATATATAAAATTATAATAATAAATAAAAATAAAATATATGACATTAAAAATATATTAAAAATATGATATTATATAAAATTAATAATATAAATACAAATATATTAAAAATAAAATAAAATATTATAATAATAAATAAAAATAAAATATATGACATTAAAAATATATTAAAAATATGATTATATAAAAATTAATAATATAAATACAAATATTAAAAATAAAATATAAAATATTATAATAATAAATAAAAATAAAATATATGATATTAAAAATATATTAAAAATGATATTATATAAAAATTAATATAAAAAATATAAATATATTAAAAATAAAATATAAAATATTATAATAATAAATAAAATAAAATATATGATATTAAAAATATATTTAAGAAATGATATTATATAAAATTAATAATAAAAATATAAATATATTAAAAATAAAATATAAAATATTATAATAATAAATAAATAAAATATATGATATTAAAAATATATTTAAGAAATGATATTATATAAAAATTAATAATAAAAAATATAAATATATTAAACTTATATTTTAATAATTATGGGTAATTTTGACAATTAGCATTACATTCCCACTAAAGTACTTGTAAACCAAACACTGCAATGTTATCTTCTCTGCATTTTAATCATTATTTTACTTACATACCAAACACTGTAATGTTATTTTCCCAATAATCACATTGCTTGCAATCACATTACCTGTAATCACATTGCATTGTCATGAACATGATATATATTTTAAATTTTTATTAATATATTTAGTTATGTATATTCGAATTTATATAAATTTTATTATATCATCTATTTTTGATTAATTTAAGATTATAAATTTACTGTCACATTCATATAATTTTACTTTTAATGAATATTCTTTGGAAACTTCATGATATCATATTAAAAAACAAAGTGATGGTCCGAGCAAATACAAATAAAAACAAAATTCTAATCACCCTTTCTACGTAATTAAAGTTCTTGCATTGCTTTCATCTCCGTTGCAAGAGAAAAAACCACCAAGTATAAGACAATTAAATATTGTAAATTTTTTTGTAATAAGACTTGCCTCGGGCATGTCCACTTTGAAATTAACAATCCCCATGTTCACCATTTTCCATCAATTTTATATGAAGCATTCGCCAAATCGTTAATCATCTTCATCGTTTCACCTTAATTTAAACAACAACAAGATCAAAAACTCATGATCATCCCGTTCCATATACAGAAAAAGAGGTCATGGGAAAATGGAAAATCTGCTGTGGAGTCACAGCGATTTTGTTCATCATTGTCGCAGTGGTTTTCGTTATCTTGACCTTCACCCTGTTTAAACCCAAAGACCCCAAAATCACCCCTCAATCTGTTACCCTGGAAAGCATTGATTTGGTGGTTTTCCCGGTGATCAAGGGGAATGTTTCATTGGGATTGGTGGTCACTGTTGACAATCCAAATTATGGAGGCTTTAAGTACATGAACAGCACTGCTTATGTAAATTATCGTGGGAATTTAGTCGCCGAAGCTCCAATTGAAAGCGACTCGATCCCTGCTCGAGCAAAGCATAACATTAGCACAACGGTGATAGTCTTTGCAGACAAGTTGGCCACCGATCCTAATTTCCCGACAGATTTTCTAAGTGGGGTTCTCAATTTTACTTCGTCGACAATCCTGCATGGGAAAGTGAGGGTGTTAAACCTCCTTAAGTTGAAAGCTTCAAGTAGCAGCGGCTGCAACATCTCTATCTTGGTCCAAACCGAGAGCGTCGATTCCGTTTGCAAATCCAAAATCAGGTTATAACTGTCCCCCCCAAAAAAGCTTGTTTAGTTCGTACGCACTGGAATACATTTATTCTGAAAGAATTAATACCAGAAATCAAAGTTGTTGATTCATCAAAATTGCTTGTCATTGTAATAAAGGAAGTTGGTGGTGTTGCTTTCAATAATCATTATTAAGCTATACTTGAGGGTATTGATTGAGTATGGTGAAACATTTATTTTGAAACAATTATCACTTCCAACCTCCAAACTGGCGCATTTAGGTTCTTGCCTTCGCTACTTCCCTAGTGGATGAGCTTCACGGATTTGAATAACAATATGATGTACTCGTGAAATTCCAAAGATTCGGGGGCTAACTAATAAATTTTCATCAAACCCGTAGGACAGGGTTCCCTTAGCTGGTTGTGAGGGGAGAGGTTGTTAGCATCCTCAAATTGGGTGTAAAGAATTCATTATCTTCATTACAGGAAACCAAACGTTTAGCCCACGAATGACCTCTGGTGAAGCTAATGAATAAAGCTTGAGGGAGATCATAAATGGAGATTTCAGGGTAGGGCAGTATGGACATTGAAAACTCAGACAAGTTTTTGTTTTCGTCAATAAATATCCTGCAGGCTGCAGTGCTAGCTCACCAAACAGCACTTCACTTTTTTGAACCCTCATATTTTCTTTCTTTTTCTTTTCCGTCCCAACTTTCAAGAAAGAGTTCTGAAATATTTGAAAACTATGCTTCTTCTTTCAACTGCTGGTACGCTATGGTTATTGGCTAGGGAAACATTTCACCCCAGGGCCAAAAACCTTCACGCACACCCCCAGGAAAGGGGTTCAAAAACAGACTTGAATATTAACTTTGAACGGAAATACATGAAGGTTAGGAACAGGTCGGGCAGCAACATTTGCCAATTTGCATACATACATACATGCATACATATATACATATATATATATATATATATATATCTCCCCTTGGTTCACTTTCCATGTCTGATCAATCAGGAGGAGGACAAATGGAGAGGAATGGGCGCCATGCATGGAATTAAATGTATCACCATACAAATGGCTAAAGATTGTTTGTTTCATCAATCGGAAGCCGGCATGAGATGATTGATAAAAACATCAAAATCAGGTCATTGTTCTTGAAAACATGAGGGCCGAGGCATTATATAACAAATCCAAAACAAAAAAAATAAAGGAAAAAAAAAACCTAAGGACTGGGTCTTTCCCCTTAGGAAAGAAGAGGCTGGTCTTGATAATGGGTCACGTTTGAAGCCAGGTATAGTAGAAGAGAGGAGGGGGAGACCATGCTACATTCCAAGATCTCGTGTGGGGACTGAGATTATACCCAGATAACTAGCCCATTACTTCACTATGTTATGAATCAATATATACCATAATAAATAAATATGCTAGGACTTTGCTTTCATACGAGGCAATAGGAGGTTTATTGATCTATCATATTTGAAAGTGATATATCGTGCACGAAACAATTGGTACCAATAATAACAACACTATGGGTGCTCATGTGGGTTTCGATCATCACCCAAAAATGAAAAGCAGGGTGGAGAGGGAGCACTGTGTCTTTTCTCGGGTCAACCTGCATAAATGCCATGTTTTACCCATACATCTATTATTATCTTTTGCAATTTTCCTAGACGTTGATTGGTTGATAATTCATGACCCTTGTCTGAGGCTTATGGTGATGATGAATTAGTAGATCATAATACTGTATTATTCCAAGGTGTGGATGCATTGAATAATATTACGGCTGAATTTTTGAGATGTTCATCGCCTTATTCATTTCATATTCGTTTCTAACAATCATTGAAAAAGACCCACTTGCAAAGTAATGTTCCATAACGTCTCTTTCCCTGCCCCCGCAAGGATTAATTACAATTTCTTTTTCTTTTTATTTTACGTAAAAGATGCAACTTGTTTTGCTCGAAAAGTATAATTTTTATTAATAAGAGTAGAGTACGGATGATTCTAACTAAATAGTTCTTAACATCGAAAACATGACTTAACCTACAAAGCTTATAAAGCAGAATCAAAGCAGGACTCGTGGCTCTCCAAAACACATCCTCAAAATAGGATAACTTAATACAAGTCAAGAGAAAAATAAATTCACGTCAACTAATCCATTATTAAAAATAAATTTCGTTTTTTACCCATTTTGATAAAACTATTTATTAAGTCGTTAGTTTTACGAAAAATATAATGAATATATTATTTTTTCGAATTTGATATGTAAAGTCCATTTCATCTTCTTAAAAAAAATAAAAATTTAAAATTCAATTTATAACGTTAGAAGATTCGTAAGTGTAATTTTTTTTTTTAAGTCAAAGTAATTTTTCAGTGATTAAAATCACTAGAGTACAGTGGATTTCAAAGAGGGTTCGATGACCCTACTTTTACATAGAAAAAATTGATTTTTCCTAAAAATGATGGCCAACAAGGTAGGGAAAGGGAGAGAAATGACACGTGCTCTGTTTGCCTAGCTGTTAGTGTTATTTATGATGATTGACAAGCAAATAAGCTTTATTTTTCTTTTGTACCTCATATGTTTGTGCATGTGTTTGTACTTCAGGCCATATGCTATTAGATTAGGCAATGCTCATTAGTTTTTACCTTGGATAACATTTTGGAAGCTGAAATTTTATTATTTATATTTTAAAATTTCAAATTATATAGTAATATGTTATTTGTTCTATGTGAAATTTTTTATTTATCTTTATGTCTTTGCATATTTCGCCATATACATATATACCATGATAGCGAAAATGTTTAAAACAATGCAAAAATGGGTTGAGTTAATTTTCTGCATATGATTTATGTGTGTATAAGAGAAAGAGACAGAATTAACTTTTCCTGGAAATTATAAGAATTGCATACCATAGATTTTGGTAGGCAAAATGTAATGAATCATGACAGATAGTAAATAGTTCTTCTGCATGCAGAGCTAGCCTGCCTTCTTCAGACACACATTAATGGAAGGATGAGGGGATTGGGAAAGAGAAAAACGTAGTTAGGCTCAGTTAGGAACAAACTTTAAAAGATGTAGCCATATTGTACATAAGTTGGTAGGTTACATATATATGGAGACATCATCATGGCCACCAAATTAATATGAAAGGGTGTCAGCAAGTGTTAATTATGAAAAAAGAAAGGGGAATTATTTATAATTTTTATTTGCTAATATGAGCCAACCAGGATGAAAGAGAAGTATAGGGCGGACAGATCCAAAGTTGAGTTTATCATAATTTAATGCTCTGAGCAAAATGCCAATCTAATCCAAATTCTAATGTTAAAAGTGTAGTTAATGCATTTAAAGCAAAGACTTACATAAATTAACCCCACCGATAATCAGAATTCCATTATATAGAATTCACAAATTATGAAAGAATCAAAATGGGTTATGTCATTTCATATGTACCTAAATATACATGTACTGTTCGTATGATATGCATCTGTTGTCATCCGCCATAGAAACTTCTGCATCATTCTGTAAAACTTCTCATGAATGTATCACTGTAGTTAAGCACTAGTTTTTTATCAGCTTAACCTCGGTTAGGTGCTCACTTCCAATGATCAATAATAAACTACTGCATTTACAAAAGAAAAATTGATTTATAATTGGTAAATCTATTACTCTTGGAGAGGTATATATAGGATTTGTTTTCTATATGCAAGGGAAAGTGATGCATTGCATAGCCTTGGGTTTCCTTTGTCCTAAACCTATAATTTTAATCTAAAGAAAGGAAGGATAAATACTAGCGGGGATACAGATGCATCTATTAGAGGAAGTATCTCTTAACTAATACTTGCATTCATACAGTTCAATTCCCCAAAAAGAAATTAATTATAATTACATCATCATAAATAAATGCTCTGTCATTAATGCCCTCTCATCATAAACTGACTTTCTGTAAAAATTTCCCCTTCTGGTTAAATATGAAACTACAAGCTGTACCATTCAGGGGTAATTCTTTTTTTCTATTTTCCCTCTTAATATTCCAAAAATAGTTCATTCTTTCTTTTATTCTAATTCTTTGTAAAAATATTGTTCTAATTAAGGTCTATCGTGGACCTAATTATCAAAGTACATAATAAATTACCAGCCATGTGGTTATAAATCTAATAATGGAAGATAGAAATTTCTAATCCAATACCACATATTTATTTGGGGACCTCCCTAGACGTCTATATGTCAATGTTCTTTTAATAGAGGAAATATTTTTGAATATATAGTTGAATATATACATTGAAGGATGAGCAAAGTGTTTTTTTTTTTCACTTAGGAAAAGAGAGGATTTGAATCATATTCTTTAAGTAAGAGATATATACTAATCAATAAATCAAATACTAAAATACAAAAATGAGTAAAATGGTTGAAAATAATAATAATACATAATTGAATCATCTTTTAATCAACGAACATATATATACATATGTGTATATAATATTTATTATATATATTATCTTATGATATAAATATCAATTATAATATTATGTAAAAAACAACAATGGATTAAATTATATGTGTATTTAATACTGTATTTATTTGCTTATTATAAAATTTGAGATAAAAAATTTTAAATTTATTGATTATATTTATTTTTTTCACCATGTTTAATTATTACTCCTACTGGTATTTATATGTATATATTTATTTTTTTTGGAGTGTTTTGAACTGCAAAGATGGTAGTATATGAAGCAGGAGGTGAGAGGGTGAAACTAGCTTGGAGGCTGGGAGGGCAAGAAGCTGTAACTCCATCTAACCCTCCATAAATTTAAACAAAAGGGAAGATGCCTTTCTCTTTCTCTCTTTCTATTTCTTCTTCTCTTTCTATAATTTGTCTCTCGCAATTACACCTCTCACCCTCCATAAATGCTATTGCACCCTCTCAATAGGCTCTGCAATAACTCCTTAGCTGCCACATCCTCTCCACCTGTTCTCTTTCTTCTCTTCCTTCTCCCTCAGTACCCTCTTCCAAGCTCAATCTCTCTCTCTTGATTTTTGTCTCA